GGCCTGGGGGAGAAATTATGCTTTATAAAGATCCCTCTACATGTCTGGGTGCACCAAGGCCAAAACAGCCCCAGGCTGAAGTGGAAGCAAGAGGCAATAGCCTAGACGGCCCCACCCTGCCACCACCAACTCATGGGGAAGCTCCAAATAATTTGGCAGCCCCCTGCCCGTGGGCAACCCTCCAGCCAGCACCAGACAGACAGCCAGAACCCCTGGCCTGTGGGCAGGGTCCACCTGGCAGCAGAGATCAAGACAGACCTTGGATGAGTAAGGAGGGGACATCCCTGACACCTGCCACCATAAGACCCCATCCTGGCCCCTCCACCACACTGTGGTGAGAAAGGAGGATGCATTTCCCCACACCTCCTTGCTGAGCACTGGAGAAAGCTCCTGGGCTTGGGGAGAGTCTGCCCCAGGGTGATGGTGCAGTCCCTGCTGCAGGGAGCATGGCTGTGTGAACCCAAGCTGTCCCATTTAATGGCACCCAGGTCCTCCTGGTGCCTACCACCCTGCTCACCCCACCCCATCACTGCCCCGCAGTGCCTGGTACTGCTGCCAGCCCCATCCCAGTGCACCAGCAGGCAGAGCAAGGAGCATCCCCACTGTATCGCCACTATTGCTGTCTTCCCTCTGCCCCATCTCCACACGCAGGGCAGCTGAAGGCAGCACCAGACACAGAAATGGGGCTCCCAGCCTGGCTTTGGTGGCTGTGTGAGCTTTAGGGAGTGGACCTCCCTTTGCCCCTCCAGCTCCTTGCAGAGCCAGAGCCCCACTGAGGCCAGCAGAATCCACCAACCCCATGGTGTGCCCAGCAAAGCCCAGTGCTCTGGACTCAGCTCACCCACGGCAGTGCTGCCTTCCCTTTCTAAGCCACATGGGGCTGGCAGGATGGGCTTGGTTGGTTTGGCTGGCACCAGCAGCTGCCAGGCACCAGGACCTGGGCTCGACAGCGCTGGCAGGCTCAGCCCCACCAGGATGGCTGCAGGCGGCGAGGCTCTGGCACCACACGCCCACGGCGGGAATGCCGGGCGGCACGCAAGTCGCTGGCACTCGGCGGCTACGTATCGTGGGGCTGGCTGGGTCCCTGCTGGAAGCAGCGTCCCTGAATCAGAGAGCAGCCCCCGGCAGGCACTCGCTCAGCCCCACATTGCTGTGACATGCCCATGGCTGAACTGCTCGTTAACAAGCCTCCCCCCACTGCAATAGGCTGGGTCAGGACTGAGCGTAGCCACACAGCATCTAACGCCTTAATCCTGGAGGAGAGGCAGCCTGGGGGGGGAAGGTCTGATGAAAGCCCCTTCCCTCGGATTTCTCCCAGGGAACCCAGGATCCCCCAGCCAGCACAGCCCTGCCCTGGTGCTCCGCTCCAGGACTCTGTCCCCAGGGGCAGGAAGGGCTCCAGGAGCTTCTAGGACAGCCCCAGCGCCATGCAGATGGGACACAACCTGCTCCAGGGCACCTGGCATCCTGAGCTCGCTTGCAAGGCCCCGTCCTGCCATCTCCCCCTCATGCTCTGTGGCTCAAGGCCAGCCGCTTGGGCTTCCTACGGTCTCCCACAGACGCTGGCCAGTTTATCCAGTCTGGCCAGGTGTTAGCACCAGCCCAGGGCCCTGGCTTCCCTTGGGAGCCTCACAAGCCACGACCCCAGGCAGGACACAGCTCCTTGCTAAGAGAAGTTTCCTTCCCCGCCGCTGTCTGGGGAAGACAGCAGGCAGCAGAGGCTCCCCGGGCAGGACGTTGTCCCCCCTCGCCTCTCCGTGCTCTGGCATGGCGCCCAGGAATCCCAGTGCATTCCCCAGAGCTGAGCTCAGCCGGGCAGCCCTGACGGGGTGCGGGGCAGAGGACAAGCCTCCGGCCTCCACACAGGAGCCAGGCAAGCCCTCGCCCCTTGCAGGTGCCCACCAGCACCCCATCCGGCCCCCCTGTTGGGTGCTTCATGAGGGTACCACAGCTGAGCCGGGGTGCATGGTGTGTCAGTCCCCCATCTGTTGCCAGCACACAGGGCTGGGGGATGGGACAGGGCTGGCGGCGGCCCCAGCCTGGGCACAAGGGATTTGAGCTCCTTTAACAGCGGAAATTAGAATCTTATTTAAAGAGCATGCTAATCAGAGCGAGCAGACGGCCTGCTCCCTCCCCACAGCCGGCGATCCTGTCTAGACACGAGGTGAAGGCCCCACCACCACCCCGGGGGAGTCCTCTGCAGCCAGCCCCCCTCCACCCCACGCTGGGGACAGGCTCACACATAGTCCCACTCAGTGCACGTCTCCTTGCTACAGCACAGGCAAGGCACAGACACGGAGGGACATCATCCCGCACCCCCTGCCCTAGACAGACCAGCAGCAAAACATGGGAGGGCAAGAAAGGGACCTAGCAACACCATTGGTAATCCCACAGCCACCCGCAATGGCTGCACCAGAGTTCACAAAAATCCCAGTAGCACAACAGTTCTTTTACTGGGTGGGACTGGAAAACCTGCTTATTGCATGGAAAAGGCAAAATTGGTTAAGACTGAGTTCCTGCGCGGAAGGAAAAAGAGCAGGGCACGCAGAACCCACTCCCGATGAATGCTTGAGCATCATCAGCCCTCACCTCCTGCGGTCCCTGGAGCAGCACCATGGGCATAACAGGAACCCAGGCAGAGCCAGCGTTGCGTGGCTTTGCCACCCCTCATCAGCAAGGCCAGAGCACACCCCGTGACAGCACAGGAGAGATGCCAGCTGGTCCTAGGCTAGTCAGCACAACGCGTTTCCAGCGCCTGGGGCTCCCGAGCAGTGACAGCAGGGCCAGGGCTGCTCCTGGCCTCGCTGTGGCTGGCTGACCTCGGCAAATTCACTTCCTCTCTCCCTGCCTTAGTTTCTCCATCTGTGTCACACTGCTCCACCCTCCTTTGTAAAACAAGGCAAGGTCCACTGATGAAGGGCAGCAGATAAGAGGGAGAAAGTTGTGTCATTAGTTGCACTGCCAAATTGGGAGTAAATACAAAATCTCAAAGGTTGGTGGTGAAGAGAGCAGAGATGGGCAGGTGACAGCGATGCCAAAGCCTTCTCCTAAGCTCCGTCCGTGCTGGGAGATGCTAATTCCCATCCCAGCACTGTGGAAATGGGGCGCTGGGCTGCGCACAATGAAGAGCTTGGGAAGCAGCATCTCCAAAGGTGCAGAGCTGGATGAGTGAAGATCTCTTGATACAGCCCCCAGGAGAGCAAAGCCAGGATGCTGCCTGCAGCTCCTGTGTCTGCTGCAGACTTGCACACAGGAAGGTTAAGAGAGGGTTTTGGCAAAAAGATGCAACAGTGGTTTAAAGGCTGGAGAAAATAACTGGCACAAACACACCTGGCTTGATCTGCTCAGCAGAGATGGAGAGGCAGCTCACTGCAATCTCTGTGTACCTGAAAAAACAGGTAGGCCTGGTGCACAGGGGAAGGCAATGAGAACCAGCTGCTCCAGAAGGAAACAGCCCAGCTCTGCAGCACAGAGGGGAACAACTGGGAACAACCCCCTGGGAAAAGGGCAGCTTTTCATCACTGGTCCCTCCTGTTCGCTCCACATAGCCTTTTTGAGAGAAGCACTTGGCTTGGAGCATGATAAGGCTCAACCCAAAGGCTAGCCTGGGATACCAGGGCTCTGTCTGAGCCTTCAGCTTTAATGCTGGGAAGACAGATGGACACCTGTGCCAGTCAGACACAACCTGCCTGGCTCATCTGCACACCAGGGCTGAGCTACCTGTGTAGGGACAGAGATGTCCATTTTCCCTCTCTGTCCCCCACACCCACCAAGGCTGGAATGAGGCAGGACTCAGCAGCCACACAGAGCAGGGAGCTGCAAGTGCCCACAGCCATAGAAAGCAACAGCAGGAACAAGGGAGGTGGGAGGAAAACGGGTCCTGTG